GGGTCTTTCATCTTACATCTGCCTGCGAGCAGTTTGGAGGTGCAAGATACCTGAGCGTGTAATGTTAATTTTACCTGTGATTCTTTGAATAAATCAGCACTGTTTTGAGGTTACTTGGACTGTCTCGTCTCTCAGAGTTAGCAATGGTAACAAGAGCCACAGTCCTACATCTTAAAATACAAGCTGTGTGCGTGCGCCGTGCGCACATTTGAATAATGTCGGGCTGTAAACGGGTTCGGGCTGTCAGTCAAAAATGTACTTGCTGGGATCGGGCCGGGCTGGGGCCGAATTTTGTCAGGCTCGGGCCCTGTCGGGCCTAACTTTTCAGGCCCAATTACAGATCTACTCTGTGTACATCTGCTGTATTTGTCATAACATTTAAGTCTGTTGTTTCAAATACATCAAGATCGTTTTCTCGGGCTGTAAACGGGTTCGGGCTGTCAGTCAAAAATGTACTTGCTGGGATCGGGCCGGGCTGGGGCCGAATTTTGTCAGGCTCGGGCCCTGTCGGGCCTAACTTTTCAGGCCCAATTACAGATCTACTCTGTGTACATCTGCTGTATTTGTCATAACATTTAAGTCTGTTGTTTCAAATACATCAAGATCGTTTTCTTGTTTTCTCTCCCACCACCACAGGAGAAGTTCTGGCCACTTCACAGAGTAGCCAGGGCGACTGTGGTTCAGTGGGTAGAGCAGTCCTCTCCCAACCGAAGTGGGCCTAACTTTTCAGGCCCAATTACAGATCTACTCTGTGTACATCTGCTGTATTTGTCATAACATTTAAGTCTGTTGTTTCAAATACATCAAGATCGTTTTCTTGTTTTCTCTCCCACCACCACAGGAGAAGTTCTGGCCACTTCACAGAGTAGCCAGGGCGACTGTGGTTCAGTGGGTAGAGCAGTCCTCTCCCAACCGAAGTGTTGGCGGTTCGAATCACAGTGCCTGCACTCCACATGTCTAAGTGTCCTTGGGCAAGACACTGAACCCCCCAGTTGCCCCCGATGGTTAGAGCCATTGGTGGCGCTGCAGATGGCTGCCTCGGTTCTGTACCGGAAACAAATTGCTTGTGTGTAACATATGTGGCCAAATAAAGGTGGACTGCAGGCACTGACATTCCAGCCTTCTGGTTGGGAGATGACTGCTTGGTGAGGCACTAACTCTTTTACAGTCAGATTTACAAATACAAATTGTCTGTTAACAGACAATGTGTTATGTTTTTATGTCATATCAGCATTCTTCACACAAACATGACCCATATTTAATTTGAGGTTAAAATTTATTCCAATTGAGCTTATTTCTAACTAGAAATAATA